TACCACGATGAAGTATTGTGTGATGTAGTGCCCATGCATGCTTGTCACATTTTGTTGGGTAGGCCGTAGCAGGATGATAGGAAGGCGAAGTATGATGAAATCAAAAATCGCTATAGCTTTACTAAGGATGGGAAGCCTATTATTTTTGTGTCGTTGACACTGCAACAAATGTATGAAGATCAACTTAAAGTAAACATTGAAAATGAGAGAAGATACTGAGGTGGTTGATTGTGAGAAAAAAGGAGAAGAACCACAAAAGACTGACAGGGAAGTCGAGGGTGAAATTGAAAAGGGAGAGGTGGTTAAAATAGAAATGGTGCTACAAGAGGAAAATTAAGAAGAGTCTTCAGAGAGAAAGGAGGAGTTGGAATTGAGCCTCTGTGAAAAAGAACATGAAGTTGAGAAGGCTTTGGTGATAACTAACAATTTCCTTCCTAGTTTGGCAATTTCTGTTTTGTACGTTAACTAAGACTCGATTCTTGAAATCAATTATGTTGGAATACCACCCAACTTGAGAATTGAGCATCGATTTGGAAATCAACTTTTGGAAGAAAACTAATCAACAATCGTATCTTAGCTTGGAAGTATTTTATTTACCGAAGGTTAACTATGTAATTCCCGAGGAGTTTCAAAGACCTTGGAATGAATTCATATGTAGTGGATTGATATACCAAGGTGATATGTTGGGAAACACACATCCATTTGAAATGACATAGCTACAATTGCCTAGGCCAAGCAAAGCAAGGAGAGTGCACAGTGATTCATCAATTGAAATTATTCTTGGAGCATCACATACTTGCAAGAGGAAGCCGTCAAAACATACACACTTTGATCATTGTGAAGGTGATTGGGTTTACATCCGAAACAAGTGGACATGAATTCAAAGGAGGTCCAAATTGCATCCGAGAGAAGATGGACCATTTCAAGTCATTGCACTGATTGGCAGTGAGGGTTACAACTCGGGTCCAGATTCGAGGTCGAATCCTTTCAAAGGGAATGGGGATGATTTGATCCGGGATGGGTCACAAACCAATGAGGCTTCTATGCAAGTTGATGAGAGCCTAAAGACAAGGTTTGAGCTTGATTGGAGCTTCCAAATACAAGATTCGAGCTAACAAGCCATGAAAATTATTTGTTCAAGCTATGGAGTCCAAAATATTGAAGTTAACAAGCTAAATAACAACCTATAGATTGGTCATGAAGGAGAAATCATATTTGGTGTGTTGGATCCAAAGTTTTGGATGATTTATAAAAAAACGAGCAGCATAGATTAAAATGGGCATAACTTTTAGCTTGGATGTCGAATTTTCGCCCATGAGTACAATCCAGGATCGTCATGAAATTCTACACATGAAAAATTTGGTGTTGAAATGTAAGCTTTGAGACCACATGCCTTAAAAGCCATGCGATCGCATACCCGTATATCGAGACAAAATTAATGCTTGAAGAACTTCATCTGATATAACTATGTGACCAGATAGTATAACTTATCAAAATTTAAAACATCTTGTGGCGTTCAAAACTATCTGGTGTAAATTACAACATGTGTAATCAAGGGGTTCTACAATTTTCATTATTGTCGGGTTTCTTGATTCATTTCTTGGGTTCAAATCTACAAATTTGAGTGTGATTTCGTAAGTTGTGTGATTAAGAGATTGTTAGTTTCATATACTTTAGGTTGTTTAGTTCACTATTTACGGGTTGGATCCAAAACCTTGGTGTATTTGGCGTTCTTGGGATTGGTGTTAATCTAGTTGTGGGTTCCGTAGTGTTCATTGCTATGTGAGTTCGCATCAACTGGGGTACCTTCTTTGCCTTTTTCCAATTCGGGCCTTTTATCTATGTTTATCCCTCCCATGTCAAAGAGGATTGTCTCTCTAAAGTCGTCTTGCTTCATCTTGCCTGCGCCGTTGATCCTGCCTAGGTGTGGACAAATTTTCTCTCCTTGGCAAGTGGAGATTATTTTGTTCCATATGTTCTACCATATCTCTACACTAGCTGGTGTCATGACCATGCAATTGGTGCTATGTACATAAGGGTTGCGAATCAGCATAAGGCCTATTCTTAGGCCAATAGCGTTTGCCTTTTTTATGGGCTAGTCATCATGGAAAAGCTCTTTGGTCTCCTTAGATACTACTTTTAACCTAAACAAAGGTATAAGTTTTAAGGTGGCCGTAGTTTGGCCCGACGTAGGTAGATCTAGTGCCTAGTTGGGTCCATTGTTAGTTCACCAATTGAGATATAGGGCCTCTTCTTCTTTGTCTTCGAGGAAGTAAGAGTCCTTGAGCTGCTCTATTGTGATGATAAATTATTTCTTCATTGCTAATCTGACCCCTCATCATCTCCACTAGTTCATTGTAGGTGGCAGGCTTCTTGTTGCAAACATTCCTTCACAATAGAGTATTTATGTTAAGGGCTCCTTTTACAGCTGAAAGAGCCTTCACATTAGTGAATTTTAGCAATAGGTCATCTCATCGGTGAAACGAGTTAGGTAGTTATTTAGTATTTCACTGACTGGTTGCCTCAAGTTCTGGTGGTGGGAGTCCTTGAGCTGCCCTTTTGTCATTTCATTCATGCTTTTTTATACTATCTCAATCATTTGCTTCACTCGTCTGGACAAGTGTTGGGATGGATGTCAGAAACATTGATTTTGTTGAAATTTATATGCAATAGCTAATCATTTGTTAAGCTTTTTTGTATACTTACATGTATAAAATCTAAAACTGGCGTAATACACATATCTTTCTATTAATCGTGTTCAATTTCACGTACTAAATATACTAATTGTTCTACAAGCTGGCGATAGTTGGAGTGAAGATGAAATGATTTTGTATGCAAATTTATGACTTTAAATCTTGGTCACAAAGGATAAGTGGGTTGCCTAAGAAAAGATGTGACTACTTCCACTTACCTAAAGTCAATGGGAATCACGATTCTGACTTCTAACCAAAACCACTTAACTACTTGTCCTATTGCACAAGGCGATAATTTGAATTTTTTATTTTTATTTTCATATAAAATTATCGAATTTTTATCTATCGACACGTATAATGCAATTATTTATAGTACATCCATGTTTATTACGCAGTGAAGATAAATTCCACTAACTTTATATCAATTGGCACGGTTATCGTCTGTCTATCTAAACAGTAAATGGCACGGTACATGTTAAGCAGCCATTAGTTGATGCTTACAGCATGCTGCTTCTCATGAAAGATAAATTATGGTTTTTATTTTTTCAAACGGCACTACTAGAGAGTGCCAAGGAAGTTATTTGATAAGCCAATCAATCAATTTGAAATTGATATAAAGTAGTGTTATTTCCCCCTTTTTTGTGTGTGTGTGTGTGATAAGTCATAACAAAAATAAGCTAAAACCTGAAAAACTTTGTGATAGTTGCCACTTTCCCGTCGTAGAATAAGCTAAGCCCAAGTGTGATCAATTTTAGTTGACAAAATTTAAATAATGGATTTCTTCTCTTTTCTTTATTCAATTGTTTGCATTTCTAAATTGCGGTTTTTTGGGTTGGCGCACTATTAACAATAGAGTAGCCACGTCTAGTTTAATTTAGTTTACGTGAACTTCTAAATCACTTTTTTATATGTCCACGACATGACATGGTAGCCGACTGGCTCTAAAGGAATTGCATTTATGGCCGCTGAAATGGTTATGGAGATAAAATATTTTAACCAATAAAAAGTAAAATTCATGCAATCCATATGATAATCTCAATTAAACTTATTGAAAATCATTCCAGTTGAAAGGGTAGATACTATAAATTTGATGCCTGCCATGACTATTATAATTCATTGAGTTTCTGCTTATGGATTTTCCTTTTGCAGTTCTAGTCATAGTCCTTTGCATTTCATGCAAACAAATCAGTGTTGTCCAAGGGGATATAGGCACTGCGACTTCATATAATCCTCCATACATGCGTAAGTATATGCCCACAACCATGAACGGATTTAGTGTGGGGGCAGTGGATCAATGCCCCGTGCTAAATTTCAATTCCGAGACCTTAGATTAAGATTTCTCAAAATTTCGCACAAGATTTTAAAAAATTCGTTATAATTTTCAATTTTGCTCCTATAATTAAAATTTTGTTGAATATGTCCCCATAACTCTTTTATCATAGCTCCGCCCCTGCCCACAACTTTGCAGTAAAACTGTGGTATTATCAGACAGTACTCAACAGTCATCTTGGTTTTCATGTTTTCATTTTCCTTTTCGTACAGCTACCAAGTGCCATGGCAATAGACAAGACCAGTTCCCACCAGGAAATCTGTTTGTTGCAGTGAACGAAGGATTGTGGGATAATGGGGCTTCATGTGGCAGGCGCTACAGATTAAAGTGCTTGAGCGGAAATAATAGGCCGTGCAAGGAAGGTACCATAAACGTTAGAGTGGTGGATTTTTGCTTGAAAAAGCCATGTCCATCGACCATGGTCTTGTCTAAAGATGCTTTTGAAGCCGTTTCGCATTCTCCCAATGCTAAAATCAACATTGAATACATCCAGTACACTCTCCCATTCATCCTTCTTCTCTTGTTTCATCTTCTCCCTCCTTTTGACATGCTAACGTTTAATTCAACTACTCTTGCAGGGTTTAATATGCATTAGCACGTGCAGATTGTGAACATCAGCTCCATGCATAGGAGAATTTGTAACATATACAATAAAGATGTCGTGTACTATAATTGCATTGCTCTCCAATAATTAATTTCTTCCCTTATTCTCTCTATTTTATATCAAAATATTTCCGACTGTTATATTTAACCCTGCAAAACAACAATTTGTATTAAGAAGTTTGTAGTTCAATCAAGGAGATTGAACAGGCTTCAATTTGCTCATCCGTCCCACAGAGACAATAATTATGGTTACTAGAAGAAGAAAAATGGATAAACCAGTAACAAGTGTTTAAAAATAACTGGACAAAAATGACTTCATTCTTGCACTTATGTACCGCGCCTTTACAACTTCTCAAAGTGTTTCAATAAGAAGAGAAAGTCGCGCATTGTTTCAAATTCAAAAATAGGAACAGAACCTCGGAGGGGATACGCCAAATCCAACAAATTACCTGCAGAATGGTTTAGCATTAAAAATAGAGGACGGACCACTTGGTTGTGCCTTTGTGATATTATAATTATTGGCACTTCCAGTAGAATACTTCTTGGGTGATCATAGGAACAACTAGGGGATGTATATCTAGTGGTCATAATGATGGTCCACTTGATTGTGTCGATATCGTATTGATCATTTGATCGTTGATTATTGATATTGCACAGAGCTCTACTTGAAGTATAGTAAGTGGGTCAAGGACCCAAGGAAAAGAATAGTTTTCAAATGAAAATATTTCGAGCTTACTTTGACGAGTATTTGAATATGAAGCACCCCAGCATAATATTTTAATTTGAGAAAAATATTTAATATACTATTTCAAAAGTTATATGTACACACAATCTAGGATTCTTCAAAAGTATAATACATAATGCTGTAGGATCAATATAATATCCCACAAAATCACCATATATATATCATCCTTATACATCGGTCTTAAAAATCTTGTAAGAGCTTCCTAGCTAGCCATGTCTTTTATGCAGTTCTATATAACTATTCGATTCCACGTAAATATCTGAACTTGTCCATTAGTGGGCCATATCTTGTGATCCAATAAGAATAGCCAGAATTATAAATAAGTTTTTTTCTTGACTTACTAGAAAATAGCTCCCGAAAATTACATTTATTGACCGAAAAAAAAGTTGATTGGCTAGGTATTTACTGGTGCAAATAATTTATGTGCGCGTATAATTTTATGAAGTATATGCAAATATTATTGACTAAAAGAAAGGAGTTGGTGAATATTATAACCCTATTGATTTAGGCGTAAGATAACCTTACTCCTATCCTTTGCACCACTGGGTTATGCCCCGGAGGGCACATATATATATAACTTTGGGTCCATTTGATTGAAAGAATGAAGTTTAGGTAGAAAGAAAATGAATTCTAGAGAATTAAATTGCCTAGAACTTGTTTTATTGAAAATTGTTAATTAAATGTGTTTGATTAGTATAATTTTTCATATGGAAAATGTTGAAATTTTGGATCTATTGATATTCGTTTGTCCTTTTTTTTTTTTAATAAAAATTGTCAACTAAATGCATAAAATTTGTTATAATTGTGTATAAAATTTGTTTCCATTCCAAAGAAAAAAAAAAAAAAGAGGATAAAGTTGGAAAACTCAATTCCCACCAAAACCAAAGGAAGACCATTTCCTTAAAAACATGGAAATGGGGATCACGTGGGAGTAGGTGAAAAATCAATTCCATGAAAAGTTTTGACTATCAAACATGCCATTTGGAATTTTCCATGGAAAATGGAGTCTATCAAACAAGCACTTAGTAAAAGTTGAAGGAATGTGAGTTTAAAATTATTTAGTCTCATAAAAATAAAAAATATGATGGAAATTAATTGTTAACTTAATTTTAATCTACTTTTAAAATAAATCAAACAAGAGCCATATGTTTCCAAAAATTTTGGCGGGAAATGGAATCACATTATTTCCAAAATAGGTTTAGGGTAACAAATTTTTCAATGTCGCTCCTCTCCCATCTGCATCTCCTCCCCTGTGCGGTCGTCTCTCTCTACCCCCATCTACATTCTCTTTTGCCAACGTATCTCTCTTATTGTCGACATCTAGTGAGTGTCCTTTTTCTTTCACTTCTTTCTTTGCATCTCTTCGACCTAGCAAATACCCATAAAAGAACATTTTGTATCTTCAAAAAATCATTATTATAATTTTTAAATTTTGTATTTTTTTAACGACAAATGGCCTCAAAAAAACCAATTTTCACTTCTATTGCCACTCTTCCAAATTCATCCCACCATTAGAATTCCCTTTCCTTCCAGCAAGTGCTGCAAAAGCTCAATTTTCCTCCCACTACAAAATCTAATGCCACTTCCTGTGTTGTTGCATATCCAATTCCTTCTGCAGCACTTGCATATCCAATTCCTTCTTACGTAAAAATTCTTCTCATTTTAATACTGGTTTTCAGTCCCACTAATTCCTACTGAGCATAATTGCTTCCAGTCCCGCAAGCCATCCATATGGTATGCCATCGATCCTTATATTTGGAATTTTATCTATCATATTTTTTTAATGTTTTGATTGCTGCGTTTTCTGTTCGGATTATGTTGGTGTCGACGACTGAGAGTGTTTTGGGATTAAAGTCCAACAAGCAGTGTTGATTGAGCTTGATGATGGAATTTATGATTTTGTTGCAGGGGATACAAGTCACAGCCAAGACGAAAAGATTTACGAGATGGTAGATGAAAGGGAGAAAGAGATGAAAAGAGCTGGATATTGTTGAAACTTTGTATCGAAAATTGGTTGTGACCAATTTTACATGATTATTTAAGTGGAATTTTTAATTTGGTGAATGAGAAATTAAGCCAAATGTAAGCCGCCTAATACTGGAAATTATAGGAAAATTGTATAGAATATTGTGGAATATTCTAGAAAAGAGTTGGATGAAAGATATCTTTTCATATGAACGATCATGACCTTTGGCATAATCATTTTCCAATTATTATAAATTCCAAGAGATGTGTCTCTTGGTATGGTTGTATCTTTTGATAAATCTTTCCAACTACCATATATAGACCCCATTGGATTTTCCATCACTCAAGAAATTTGGAGTGCTCTTATGGCTAGACGTGGTCGTTGTATCTTGGGATATGATTGTTGAAAAACCGTTAGCACGATACGGGATAAATTCATCTTAAGGACTAAGTGTCCAACACTTGCCTCAGCCAATTGTATCTCATCTTGATTCTTTCTGATTTCTCTTTTCGTATTTGATTTCAGAAAGTTAGTAACATTCTTTTGGCTTATGTAAGTTTGAAATAAAGAATGAAAATGAGTGAATCTATTGTTTCATCTCATTAATTCCATTTTGATAAGTCAAAAATATGTTTCAATTTCGTGAATATAAACGGTATGTTTTTTGTAAATATAACATGTACAATATCAGTGTAGTTTCTCCAACAGATATGTCACTAAAACATCGGAGGTGTTACTTGATTTTGATGAAGAAGAAAAGGGTAGGCACAATAAAACGTTGGCTATTGCATTTACATTCCCCAAAACACCCTGTGGAATGACCATACAAATAGTCAAGAATTTACGAGTTCGAGCAGAGTGCCACTTTGTGACTAAGTTCATATCTAAGATATAAATTGAGAAATAGTGGTACAAGACAGAAACAACTTTCACCAGTTCAAAGTAAACATGTTATGCTCTCTTGTAAATACTTTTGATATTTTTGACCTTGCGAAACGAACCTTCCATGTGGTCAACCGAGAGATGATCCACGTGTTCCTTTTTGCGCACAATAACAAATGGTTAGAAGCACAGGGTCGGAACTAGTAGGGGGTGGTGACAGTCGCACACACTCTGACGATCAAATTAGTGGACGGTGGTCAGTATGATGCCAGAATTGTGCAAGAGTGGGAAGGAGAAGAATTATACTTTTGTGTGGATAGCTAAGTTTAGTATGAGTTTCATTATCTTTGCCTCTTGCCAAACGTCACATCAATCAACCCATGGAGATGTTACGTTAATTAATCCATTGAGATAAAGGGGATCTTGACAAAAATATATCTCTGACACTGGCGGCGAAGAGCTATTGAAGAGGCGCCTCAGAGTACCCCACGCTTCGGCATCAAAGGGTACTTTGGATGCCTTAGCAGATTCACTTGGTGATCAGCATGTGAACTTAAAGTTAGGTTGAGGCTCATCTCACTTTGAAACCACTTCGAAGAGACACGTGGCACCTCGCTGAGGAGTGGGAGTGATGTGCCAAAGTGGTTTGGTGAGAAGCGTAACAATGGTCCCCCCAAGTTCAGGGATGAATATTTATATCATTCGTGGACTTGTTTCATCGATTGTTTATGTTGGCCATTGAGAGAGTAGGTTCTGCAGAAGTGCTGACCCCATAGGGGAAGTGAGCAAATGGGTAGAAGCCTTTGTGGGCTAAAGTACATTGTTAGCCAAGGCAATGAGGGTATTGTTCATCTTGTTAATAGTCGATCTGTGAACAGTCATCCTCGACTGATGCGTAGGAGCTTGTGATCTGGCTTAAGGCAAAACTTGTTGGCGAAGCTCATTTGCAATCGTTGTGTCTTAAAACTTTGTAAAAATTTTACAGCTTTGCGACTGAGGCGATGACCTACAGGGACTCCGTTTGGGGAGAGTTGAAGCTTCGTGAAGCTGACGGGAGAGCTCATCTTCTATCGATGCGTTGACCTATAAGAGACGACACTTGGGAGATGGCTTGAAGCTTTGAAAAGCTTTTGTAACTCTACAACCGAGGTGATGACACACAAGGGACTACGTTTGGGAAGAGTTGAAGCTTTGTAAAGCCGACAGGAGAGCTCATCTTCGACCAATGCGTTGACACACAGGGAACGATGCTTGGGAGATGATTGAAGCTTTGTAAAGCTTTTACAACTCTGCGATCGAGGTGATGACCCACAGGGGACTCTGTCCGAGGAGAGTTAAAGCTTTATAAAGCTAATATGAGAGCTTATGTTTGACTAATGCGTTGACCCATAGGGGACGACGCTTGGGAGATGGCTCAGCTCTGCAAAGTTCTTGGGAATCTAATCCTAAGCGTGCACTTGAAATCTTAAAGTGACGACTGTTACCTATTTCCAAGGAGACATGGATGTGATGCC